CCTCCTGCCCTTCAGGAGGCTGGTGAAATCCTGACTATGGAAGGAAGCATTCCCATAGTAAGGTTGAAACCAGCTACAGAACAAGGTTATCGACCACACATACGGACTGAGTTCGGCATGATTTTATCTTGGCGATTTGGCTTATTTGTAATTTTAATCGATATGTATTTTAACTCGTTATTATATGATGTTTTTAGATTGTACTGTTAGCATTGAATCTTTGCTGTAAGCCGGTCTGAGTCCCTCTACGGAGGTTGGGAAGATCGGGATATAAAACTTTTAAATAAAGTTATATATATATATATATATATATATATATATATATATATATACACACACATATATACACACACACACACACACACACATATTGGCCTATAAAGCCCTAAATGGTTCCGGCCCAAGATACCTATCTGACCGCATCTCGGCCTACGAGCCCACAAGACTTTGAGATCGTCCAGGGAGGCCCTGCTCTCGATCCCGCCTGCCTCACAGGCACGCCTGGCGGGGACGAGAGACAGGGCCTTCTCGGTGGTGGCTCCTCGGCTGTGGAACACCCTTCCCGTGGACATCAGACTGGCTCCTTCCCTGGTGATATTCTGCAGGAAACTAAAGACTTGGCTGTTCGAGAAGGCATTCGAACAAGAAGTGCAATAATTGGTAATGACGACAGGAATGGAACAAAGGAAAATGATATTGGATTGTGGTTTAACGATGAGACGACGCGAATGACTTTTTGTATTTTTGTATTATTGATATTGATATTGTTGATGTTGTTGATGACGATGTTTTTGGATACTGCTAGTTTGATTTTAGATTGTGTCTTGTAATTTGCACCCTATCCTCTCTATGTTGTACACCGCTGTGAGCCGCCCCCGGGCTGAGAACAGCGGTATATAAGCACAGTAAATAAATAAATAAATAAATAAATAACAATATAATGAAATAAATGTGTAATTAAATGAATTGGTTTTGTGCACATGAATAACCATTTTTGTAAACTAGTAACAAAGCAAACTTTTTAATAATGACAAATGGGATATCAAAACAATTTTCTTTTGCATACCACCATAAAATGAAGATAATAATAGTGCTCTTCATGTGTAATTTATTCTAAGAATTATGTCAATAATTTGTGGGGAATGCTTTGAATACTTGAAGCACTAGAAATGCTAACAGTATTGTTAGCATTCATACAACTGTTGTTAGTAGTGATGGTGAAGGTGTGCTTATTTATATGCTTAGGACAAATCCTGTGGGTATGAATGGTGATACTACTGGCACTTACAGCATTTATAATTTGAGTGTAATGCATTTGAGCTTTATGTTTCAGTAAGAAACAGACCCATGAAGATCAGTAGAAAGAAAAAGTACATTTGAAGTAGGTCTGTAATAAATACAGCTGAAGACTGTAAAGCCGAAGCGGTCAAATGCAGCAGATTTTAGAAACCAGTGATCCAAGGGCCTCACAGATTGCCAAAACAACGCCACCAACAAAAATGTCAGAAAGTCTACTTTGGTATTGGGAATATGTAATTTTTAAAATGTTAAATGTGTGTGAAAGATTACAATTTATTCAAAGGGGAATATGTATTGCAAAAAATGCAAGTGACCTTCTCATCCAGTGTGGTTAGGAGGCTAACCAAAAAAACAACAACACACTGTTATTTTATTGCTTGGTCAACCAAGGCAGTAAGGGCAGCAGACATATTCAAGTGCATTTGGATCTTAGTAAAACAAAATCTGCATAACCAATACATAGCATTGCCTGAGTTTTAAATGATTCTTCCAGCAGGCCTATCCAGACAGTTTAAAAAGTTTTCAAGTGTGAGCTGACTGCTTAAAAATGTATTTATAGGTTCTTTTAAGTGGTGTTATGAATTGTTAACTAATATTGTGTGTTTTAACTGGTGTTGAGTATCTAATCTGTTGTATTTTAATATGTTGTTTTTCCCTGCCTTGATACAGCAGCAAGAAACAACAGCAACAATACATTGTAACTCCCGGAATCCTCAGTCAAGGATGACCAGTGTTAGTCATGCTGGCTAAGGGATTCTGGAAGCTTAGTTCACACAAATAGCTTTTCCAAGCACTGATGATCTTTCGGTTTCATTATTCATAGCACTTCCATAGGTTTCCAGCACTGTGTCCTTCAATCTAAAAGAACAAAAGCAGGGGAGGCACACTTGTAAAGAAACATTTTTTCTCATTTCTTTTCTGGATTGAAGCTTTTTGCTTTATTGAATCTAAAAATACTTGGTTTAAAATGAACTGAGTGGCCCTAAATGCAGCATTGGCTACTCTGATGTTCCAGGTCTTTGCCAGACCCATTCTTCAGATTTTTTTATATCAAATAACATCAGCCTAATGCCGTTTTCTTGATCTTTGAATGGTAAACATGGTCAAATATTGTGTTGTCTATCCTTTTAGGCATCATAGTGTTTACAAAGGGTTAGAGAGTTAACCCTTTGAAGCCATGGATCCCAATTGATGCCTCTTCTACACTGCCCTATAATCCAGATTATCAAGTCAGATAATCTATATTATCTGAACTGGATTATATTATTATTGTATTTATTTGTACCCTAATTAATCTCCTCCGAAGGGAACTCAAAGAGGCTCTATGAGTCTACACTACCATAAAATCCAGTTCAAAGGAGATAATCTGGATTTTATACGGCAGTGTAGGAGGGGCCCAAGAATCTCCTACAGACAGCATAGCCCATTCACTGGGGTTAGAGGCACAAGACCCCTGCGAAAGTAAAAAAAACCCACACAAATAAAGAAATTACATTTTTTTGAACCTATCTAGGAATTTTTACATCTTGTAGCTTGACACTGTGGACAACATTCACAGGAAACTGATCGGAAAATCCCATTGGAGTACATAGAGATTACTACAGGAGTGTTCTCTCTAGAAATGTCTAGCTCCTTCTACATGACAAGAGGAAGTTAACCATAGAATCATATTGGAGGATCTGAGGATTCTTAGAAAGAACATTTTCAATCAAATCTATAAATAATCCAATCTGCAATTTACTAGTAAAAGGCTTTTTGTGCCTCCTTCACAGACCCCTTGAAATATATACACAGACCCTTAATTTCCATGGACCAGGGTTTAAAAATTTATGGGGCAAAGGATTTGAATCCAGGCTGTTGTGTGCATTACAGACATCTTAAAGGAAGCAATTTTCATGAGTTTTGACTTGCAGCTTGGACGCAAGGTTTGCAGCATATTAATTAAGTATTCTACTTGATACATATACTTATGCTTATTTCACAACTTGAAACCAGTCCTGTGCAGTTTATGACCTACCAAACCAGGTGTAGTCCATGCTTAAAACCACCTATTCAATGCTTGACACTGCTAGTTTTTGCAGCCCTGGACAGACAGTAAACACAAGAGTTTGATTGTTTCCTAGATGGGGCTTCTGGGCCATATTTATTTACTTATTTGTTTGAGAAATTTATATCCTGCCTTTCTCTGAGCACAGACCCAAGGCAGTTGCAACAGAATAAAAAAAATCAAAGATGGTGTTGCATAGTTTGGGCTGCCATTGAAGCAAGAAAGGACACACCATATACATAAAGTGAAAATGCCCAGATTGTTAGGATGGGTACAGCAGTGATACTACAATTAAAGTAGAAGACTGAACATCAGACATACTAATGCAGCTAGGTATGGTAGTGTGGCAGCTCACAACCTCAACCTGTAGTATCTTACCCACCTTAGGTCACCAACTAGCCAACGAAAGCTCCATTGCCATAGTTCTCAGGTATACGTGGGTATTTCAGGAACATGTATGGAAGAATAGAAACATGAACCCAGGACTTTCAGTCAATCTATACAGAGGCCTTCCATTTCCACCCATCTCTCATTTCCCCACTGCCTCACACCCATTATCTCTGCACATTACATTGTAGGGTGAAATAAAGGTCCACTTCGATCTCTTTCTGGACCTATAAAAGCCTAGAAGTCAAATTGGATTGCAAGCTGTGTAGATCTGACATGCAATGTTCTCTCTCCTTTGCATTGATTATAATTTTATCCTGAAACAAATTCAATAAAAGCAATCCCTTCCTCTCCCAATGTCATGAAGCTGTCTTACAGAGAGATCTCTAGGCCAGGAATAGAATGCAATTATCTTGTTCCATGTAAATCTAGTGCAGAGCTTGTTAAATTTTTGGACTACAACAGCGGTCAGCGCTGTGGGATTCCAGGAGATGTCATCCAATTTATTTTTTTAAAGAAATACATGGATCAAATATCAATGGAAATTGGTTTTGGTGTAAGAGTTAAGTAATAATTGAATAAAATTATTTGTTGCTTTTGCCCATTCACTAAATAATAAATCTGTAGGATTCACTATTTCGCAGGTCAGTTCTCTTTCTGTAAAATACCACAGTTCAACTTTATGAGACTTAAGAGAAATGAAATATGGAGATACAGTGAGCTCTTGCTATCCACTGAAGCTTGATTCCAAGATCCCACCCCCCCCCCCACCCCCATGGATACCAAAATCCATGGATAATTAAGTTCTATTATATACAATGGTGCAGTAGAATGCTGTCCCTTATATAAAATGGCAAAATGTGGGGTATTTTAAAAAAATACTTTCAAGCCATAGGTGGCTGAATATGTGGAAGGAAAATCCATGGATGTGGAGGGCCCACTACTTTTATGCACTTTACACCTAAATATAGAATACCTATTTGAACAGTAAATATGTGTATCACTACTATTGTTGTTTATCCATGCTTAGCTAATGGCAAAAAGAGGAGGGGGATTCTGGAAGCTAAGGACTCTCTTTCAACAGTTCTTTTTTGTCCCCTGACATATGAAGGTTCATCTGGTCATCCAGAGATATTCACTTTTTATTCCTTCAGCTGTCCCAGTATGAAATCCTGATTTTTCACGGACTGAGGCCTACTTCCCATACAATATTATTGTTTAGAGTTATTATTATATATAGATATTCTTTTTCCCCTCCTCTTTCCAGATGCTTATCCCAATTCCGAAGTGATCTATGTGTGGACTAACACACCAGCCACATCTGTGGTGGTAGCAGAGGATGGATCTAGGCTTAACCAGTATCACCTAATGGGACAAAGTGTAGATTCAGAAAACATCAGTACCAGCACAGGTGAGTGTACCTTTTCAATAACACTAGACAATAAAAAACATTTAGTTTGATTGTTAGACAGTCCTGTTATATCTTTCACATTACATTCATATTTTCAAAACAGCTTGCCAGTTTATACTTGGATTTCCTATAATGCTTCCCTTCCTGATCCTTTAATGAATGTTTTAATTGTGGCACTACTGTTGTTGCTGCTGCTGTTGTAACTATTGCTGTGTGTCCTTGAGTCATTTCCAGCTTATGTCAACTCTAAGGCAAAACTGTCATGGGCTTTATTTGTCAAGTTTAGTTCAAAGGGAGTTGCTTTTGCCCTCCTCTGAGGCTGAGAGAGTGTGACTTTCCCAGCATCACCCAATGGGTTTGCATGACCAAACAGGGATTTGAACCAGGGTCTTTAGAGTCCTGCACTCAAATCATTATGCCCTGCTGGCTCTCTGTGACTCTGATTTATCAATACATATGCATTGCTTGATCACTCGTACGGAAGGAAAAGGTGATACAGAACAGTAGTTTTGGGCTTCCAGAGGTTTTAGAGTCTAATTTACCAGAAATCTGCATAGTAACTTTGTTGACTGGGTTTGGATGTTGGACCAAAGATCAGAACTCTCCATTAAGAGATTGTGTTTCTGAAGTGGTGACTCATCCACTCTGCTCAAGTCATCACTGTAGTGCTAGAGTGAGGAACATGTAGGTCAGAGGTGGATAACTGTGCAGGGGTCATTTCTCTCATTCTAATCCCCCTGTGGACTGTACCTTTACAACTGTGGTCACAAATTATTCTATTGTGGTCAAAGTTCTTTCCGAAATGGTGACTGAAGGTTATGTTGATCACTTTCTGCTACTGTTTTGAGAAGGTCTCTAATAAAAGCAGCTTGCGGTTATGGGGTCCTGTCTTTATGGTGCTGAGACTCTTGGATCAAATGAGGGGCATTTTCTTTGCTTTTGTGATAAAAATGCACCAAAAATTCAATGGGGTGCAAAAATTCAGTCCAGGGACTACCTGCAGCCTATGGACACACTTTGCCATCACAGGTATAGACCTCTAACACATTTTGTTTTAGACCAGAACGTGATTCTCTAACTGCTGGAACACAGCGACCAACATCCCTTGCCATTAACTATACTGCCAAGAGCTGAAAGGAGTTACAGTTTGAAGGCATTACAAACATGTAATGGGATGGATGATAGGGAGGAAAGGCCTCTCTTATGCATAGTAAGAATTAGAAACACACTCTGAAAATTAAGATACCCTAATACAGTAGTTCTTAGCCTGTGGGTCCCCAGGTGTTTTGACCTACAACTCCCAGAAATCCCAGCCAGTTTACCAGTTGTTGGGATTTCTGGGGGTTGAAGGCCAAAACATCTCGGGACCCACAGATTGAGAACCACTGCCCTAATACAAAAAGACAAGTTTAAATATCTGTTCAACCTACTACATTTCTCCTCCTCCATGACCCAAAGAATATTTTTAACTGATAAATGAGCAACAAAATATTTTGCAGGTGTTCTATTCCTGTAGGCCTGTTCCTGGGGAAAGCTGCATCTGTTAATTTCTGCCTTTATGCAGATTTTTTTAAAGGCACAGATTCATTGTCAGGAAGAAGGATGGGAGAAGAAAAGGAAGAGCACCAGCCCCACATAACTGGTGCAAGGAAATGTACACACACATGCACACCCCACGTACACTGCTTGATCTCCGAAGGGGAATTGGGGACATGGTACGGAGGCTCCTGCATTTGCAGAGGCCTCTCTCTTGCTAGTGCTGGCTTATTTCCTCACAGGAGGCAAACATCCGCCTACACACACTTGATCTATCCCTCTCAGAGCTTTAAAATGATTTGTTTGATGAAAGCATTGGGGAGGGGGGGTTAAGAGGAGGGAAAGTGGCAGCTGTTGCCTGGCTTTGCACAGAGTGTCCAGGGAACCACGTGGCCCAAAAGGAGGTGCTAACCCTAAGGGTTCCCATTTCCTCCCTAACTGGAAGTGGAGGCGCCAGATGTGGCAGCATTAGGGAAGCAAAGAAGCTTTAATCGTGGCCCAGCCACCCACGTGAGCCCCCCTCCTCTCAGCTACAGGCTTCTGTGTCAGGGCAACCCGGTGCCGCAATTGGAAGGGGCACATGTGGAGAGAGGAGGGGGCATGGCTGAAGTGAGTGGGGCTCACCCAAGCCCGAGCGTCACATGGGGCTGCAGACAGAAGCTCCTACAGGGTTACATAATACACTTGCCTGCTTCTGGTAATGAGGTGGAAGCTGAGGTCTCCGATAATTAGAAACAAAGCATTTCCCGAGCTTGGGGAGAAGGAGGAGGGGGAAGAAAAGGGGAAAGAAAAGGGGAAAGAAAAGGTGGCCTCAAGCAGTGCCTTTCTCCAGATACTTCATGGGAGTGCCAATAGAGAGCAAAAGGAGCCCTAAGGGAGCGATTTGCTGCATTAATGGCCCGGTCTCTCAGGAGAAACCGGCAGGAGGCTATAGAGGGAAAAGGTGTAAGCTGACTCTTACTACAACTGACGAAGGGACTTTAAGCAGTTTTTAAAAATAGAGAAGGAGGCGCACACATGTACACAAACACACATGGTTTGGAAAAATAAAGGAACTGCTATGCTGCAATTCATTTCTGTTCAGAAAAGGAACAAATAGATCTCTAAACTATAATATCAAGAACCTAGATGCCTTATTTTCTATTACAAACAATCTCAAATAGTAGGTTCTTGTGGGGTTTTTTCGGGCTATAGAGCCATGTTCTAGAGGCATTTCTCCTGACGTTTCGCCTGCATCTATGGCAAGCATCCTCAGAGGTGAGGTCCTCTAATCTCAAATAGGGTAGCAGGGGTACTTTTAAACTGACAACACAAACTTTACCATTTCCTTGAAACAAGCAGAGTAGCCACAGGACTATTGATTCTTTTCTCTCTCCTCCCTTTACTGTGTGTATACATTCAGTGCTCCACACAAAAAAATCCTACAACAGAACTCAAAAGCCACAGGTTTTTTTTTTTTTTTTTTTTTTTTTGTGGGAGGCAGGGAATGGGGCAGAAAGGAGAACAATTGCAGAAGTCACAAGAATAAACTTTGTATAGAAGAAAGGGCATGGGTTAGTAAAAGCAAAACAATGCTGTCAATTCGGAGAGTTCCTTACCAGTTCACCATCATCGCTGCATTGTTTTCTGCAATAAATGGCAGCTCTCCCCTCGCCTTCAAAACAACCAAGAGGAAAATCCAGAGAGTGTTCTGAGGCATCTCCCAGAATTGTGCCCAGCAGCTCCTTGGCACTAAATGGCAATCCAGAACAAGTGGTGGTTGCTTCAGGGTGGTCCGGTACTTGTTGTCACTGGTACTTGCAAAGGTCTTTGCTCACCTAATCCCAAGGAAGCAATGCATTCTCAGGAAGAATCCCCAAGTTGCAGTCTCTGAGGTTCTCTAAGATTTAAGCTAATAACAGATTTGTTTGTCAATGTCAAGAAGTGTTTTCTTCCCGGTCTTATTTTTCTTCCTGTCTCCTTCTTTTTGCTAATGTCCCAGGTTACATCTGGGCAGAGTGGATTCAGATTGCAGGGTGGATCACAAAGAGCAGGACACAGATTGTAACTAGGGATTAGCAAAATACAAAAATCCGATTTTACACAGGGAAAGCATCAGTCGGCTATGGATTTTCTGGACTTCATCAAGCTCACAGGAGGCCTGTAATCAGGGTTACTTGTGAACGGATTTCTAAGATGTTCTTTCCTTCTACAGAACTGCAGAATGTGAAAATAATATGTGGGGACCCTTGTTCCCTTTTTGCTGCAATCCTCCCTATTTTCTAAAAATCAAACAATAAAGAGTGTATAATTTTGATTTTAAACCATGAAAAAAAATACATAGAGACTGCTGCAGAACCAACTCAAAACCATTTTCATGCCAAAATATTTAATTGGTTGTTCTGTTTGTTTGTTTGTTTCCTTTTTAATTGTTATGGTGACCTATTTTGGAAATTGTATTAATGATATTTTTATATGATAGTTATTTTTATTGTATTTTTAAAAACTATTATTGCACATTGCCCTGATAGTCACAACAACAACAAAGGATGAAAATAATCCCCCCCAATCCTTTTACTCCTCCCTTTGTCCTGCTTTTCAAAAACATTTCACTTACTGTGCCAGGAACTGAAAATAAAATAGTTAATTGGCTCCAGGGCACATCTACACTGATCATTTAATGCACTTTCAAAGGAGTATTGAAGAAAGTGTTTTCATTGTGCAGGTGATTACATAGGAGATCCTGGAACCAGCTTGAGGTCCGGGTGGTGATGACATAACCACAGAGCACTGATGTACATTAAAGGCTTCCTGATGCACATTAAGGGCTTCCTTTCACATGCATCTGTGAGAGTTTATTGTTTGGCCACTGCAATTTGAAGCTAGCTTTAACCTGCATTAAATGGTCAGTGTAGACGGGGCCCATGTGTGTTTTTAAGTACACTTCCAATGTCTCTTAACTTTTTTAGCTTTCTATAATATCTGCATTTTGCAAAACAGCCTCTGGACTTGGACAACCTTGCTTGGAAGAATTGTGTGGCTGTATAGAAACAGTTTTTAAAACAGCCACTGCGGCTGACACACACACACACATTTAATTCAGCTAAGAAAAAACCTTGTTGGAAAATACGGTAGGTTCCATGCTGGGCCTTCAGTGGAAAGTCTGGCCCTTGAAGATGTATCACTTGGGGGCTCAATTAGACTGGAATTCCCAGATGATTTTTCTACTATCCTTCATTGGTTGTTGGAGACTATTAAAGGGGTTTTTCCAAGTCTTCGAAGACCTTGTATAATGTGCAATACTGTTTTCTTTTTAACAGTTTTCTTTTTTTAACAGATACATTTTCGATTTGTCTAAATTGTGTGTGTGCGTTGTGCATGTGCACCTTTCAGTGATATGTTAACTTATGGCGATCCTATGAATTTCTTAGGGTTTTCTTAGGTAAGGAATATTCAGGGCTGGTTTTGCCAGTTTCTTCTTCTAAAATATAAACTGCAGTACCTGGTACTGAATTGTAGTTTAATAATATTTTAACTTTTGTGTGGTGTGAATTATAATTGTATTTGTAAGCTATTCTGAGTAGCAAGCTGGAGAAAGGGCAGGATGTGAAATAGCTTATTTGTGTATTTATTTTCTGCATAGCTTGGGCATGTTTTTCTCTTTGTTTATCCATTCATGAGACATTTTCAGCCATTCTTGAGGCATTGCAATAGTGATGTGATTTTTAAAGAGGGGAATAAATCAAGATGATATGATATGATAAGAGTCAAGATATCCACCATTTTACTTTAGCTTATAATAAATCTGTTTTTTTTAAAATAGGATCTGGACATCTTGTCTTATCAGTGCTCCTGTTGCAGAGATCTTGCATGTTCTTATCAATTAAAATGTGAACTATAGAAGATATGTTCTGTAATCCTATTCAAGCCTTACATCTTTGTTTTTGGACTTGCATCTGTGGATATTAGAACTGTGCAGTTATATAGAGTGTATCCCGCAAAGGGCGGCTGTTATGTCACTATGTAGCAGAGCCGTCAAAGTGCCCAATGCGTGTCAGTGTCCATGAACTCCTGTGTGCATTGTACATTGGTGTGCAATGTAAATCAGTGCACAGTGTGAACTGTTCCAGATTGCACTCCGACTTGCACCACACAGTGCTGTGCATTGTGCAGTGGTGGTCAACATACATTGATGTGCATCACATGCTGGCTGGGCAGGAAATCACCTGTGTTGCACACTAGTTGTACCTCACTACTGTATATGGTGTTGCTGGGTGAGGAGTGCAGGCTGCGTTTGTAGAGCGCTCCTGCAGTTGGTTTTATTCCTATTTTATTGTTTATATGGTGTTGCTCTGTGTTGTAAAACAACTGCCAACAGTCGAGCAAGTCTTGTGGCTGCAGTGATGATAATGCCTGTACATATTTGTAGTTTTAGCCATTTTAATATGTAAAATACACTGCTGAACATGCCCAGAGCCTTTGTATGCCTGGGGGGGGGGGGCGGCATTGAGAGTAATAATGATGTATTGGCGAAGGCTTTCATGGCCGGAATCACTGGGTTGTTGTAGGTTTTTTCGGGCTATATGGCCATGTTCTAGAGGCATTCTCTCCTGACATTTTGCCTGCATCTATGGCAAGCATCCTCAGGGCTTGCCATAGATGCAGGCAAAATGTCAGGAGAGAATGCCTCTAGAACATGGCCATATAGCCCGAAAAAACCTACAACAACCCATTGAGATGGGAAATTGTCTGCTCAGGCAATTATGTTCAAAAAGAAGGTAGGGGAAGAAAACAAAACACTTTGGGAATCTATATTTCCTCTTAATACAAGATCTCCATCATCCAGGATCCTAACAGGATCAATTTTAATTGGGTTTTATTTATTTATTACCAGTAAGAGCAGATTCTTTGATTCTTTAGTGGTACTATATGTTTTAATTGTGACAATGTTTTATACTTGTATGGATGATGTAATTGTTGATTGCAATGCATAGGCCTTGTACATTCTATACTTTATCCAGGCAATGGAAGCCAGACTCACTGGAACTCTTTAGTGAGCCATCTGTTTGCATTTTTAAAAATAATGATTTGTACAACTATGTGAAGGAGGGGGAAAATGATATCCCCTCCCCCATATATAAACCATTATTATCTCCAAGCTGAAATAGACTCCAACTCCGGGAATGGGGGCTCTAATCCCTGTTTCACCATGAAAACCCATAGGGTCACCCTGGGCATGTCACACACCCTCAGCCATAGAAATCCCTGTGATAGTTTCACATTAGAATCTCCATAAGTCAGAAAGGACTTCAAGGACACAACAATAACAGCAACAGCAATGATCTCTACCTGCAGATATGTATAGGGAAGTATTATAGATTAATAGAATCAAAGGAAAATTAGGTGAAACAATAATTGGATATTGAATGCTCTGTTGAAACTGAATACTTTCCAACTGTCTTTGGTAAGAATAGCCCCAAAAAATCCTCTACAATCCCACTTTTTCAAAATGCTGTAGTTTCTCTCTCTTCCTTCATGAACCCTTCTACACAGGCTCTAAAATGTGGAAGGAACCAGTATGAAATAACATTTGCTACATAACATTTGCTGAAAATGTGTGCTGAATCGCATTAATGGCTTAAAAACATATGTTTAAAAGGTGCGCATAAAATCCAATTTTGGCCAAAAATGCACATATTCACATGACTACTAGTGGCAAGCAAATTTTGGATCGAAGACTTGTGAGCATCAGAACCGAAGTCCAGCCATACTGTAAGGCAGAATGAGGGAGAACTATAAGTGGTAAAATTTGAATTTATGAACAGCCAGCATTTTTTGTGAAGGGCTGCATAATGTTTTTAATGCTAAGGATTGATGGATGAGGAAATGTTTGTAGGTAGGGCTTTCTGCCTGCAGTGCTAAAATTTCAACTGTCTTTGGATGCTATGCACCTTGAATTGGATGAGTGGGGAACCCTAATTGAGCAGGACCTGGACAACAAAGCAGCCTAGGGCATCCCTGCCGGAGACCAGAAACAACCGTCAAAGAAACAATTCCTGACCTTCCTAAGGAAAAAGATTTTGTGGTTTGTATCAGAGATGTAGCAGGGGTAGAGAGACACATCAAAATTCATTCTCCATTGAAAATTTAACATTGCAGTGAACACTTAGGAAGACAATTTAGGCATTTAAAGAAAAGGAGCAGATAGCAAATATGAGACTTTTAGATGTGAATGATTTTCATTGTCTCTCTGCAATGCTAAAAATTTGGGAGCTGAAAGAAAATTTCATTTGGGGAACAAAATTCTTATTTTGGGGGCTCATTTAGCTTCCCATCTACCATAGTTATACCCTTGGATTGTACATAGCAATGTTCAGAAACCAATCAAATTACTAGCCTATCCCAGGAATAAGTGGATTTAAAATGAAATAGAAAGAGGCTGTATGTGAGCAGTTATTCTAACTTTCATCAATGCCCGTATCTTCCTACTCTTCCTCCTGTAGGTGAATACACAATAATGAGAGCACACTTCCACCTGAAGAGAAAGATTGGTTATTTTGTCATCCAAACTTACCTTCCATGCATTATGACCGTGATCTTATCCCAGGTATCATTTTGGTTAAACAGAGAATCTGTTCCTGCCAGAACAGTCTTTGGTAAGTTATTTCACTACTTTCTTTCTCCTTTTTAATGTCCTTTTTTTCTAAGCATTTCCAAATGCCATGTTTCCCTCATGACATTAAACAAGACTAACCTTGCCATTCAGCAAGGTGCTTCAGGTAACAGATGCAGATCATTGGTGAGCATCATTGAGGCTGTGGAGAACTGTGTGTACCACTTGCAGTTATCATGTGCTGGTCTTGCTTAACCTCTAAGATCAAATAAGATCTCTAACTTTAGAGTATTTTGGCTCATTACTAAATGGCCAATATACTTCAGTCACTTTCTGACTCTGTAAATTTATCAGTGAGTCCAAACTCTACATGAGTGAATTTCAGCTATATAAGGTGACCTCTGCCTGTCCCATGAAGGGGCTTCCTGGTATGTAGGTTTTTCCCCCTCTCCTTGATGCAATTAACAATAATCCAGATAATCTAGGTGCTTGTAGGGTCACCATACGTTAAACTCAACTTGACAGCAAATGACGACAGCAGCGCTATGATCCAGTAGAGGCAGTTTTTGTCAGTTGGACTAGGAAAGGTGATTAAATCTACCCAGACCCATCTACCCATACTGGCCCTGTGTAAATGCCTTCCAGTTACCTAGAAACCCAGTGAATTCTCTAAGGCAAGGAATAATCTGGGGCCTTCCATACTGTCATATAACCCAGAATATCAAGACAGAAATTCCCACATTATCTGCTTTGAACTGGAATATGTGGCAATGTGGACTCAGATAACACAGTTCAAAGCAGATATTGTTGGATTTTCTGCCTTGATAGTCTGGGATATAGGCCTGTGTGGAAAGGCCCCAGAAGTGGTTTGGTCAGTGTAGCCTACAGCATCTGGTATTTGGTGATGGTTTTCTACCCAAATACTACTCAGTAATGACCTGTTTAGCTTCCAAGATCACATGAGATTTGATACCTTTAAGGTATTTAGACATCAACTTTCTTAGACTAACTTTCTTAGACCTTCACAGCAGAACTCAATGTTATTAAGGGCAGGAGGACAAATCTCCTCTTCCACTTTTGCAGATAAAACTATATTGTTGTTTAAAATCAGCAGAAGTACATATTTCAGTCTAGACCTTATATTCCTGTGTTCTAGCTTCCAGTTATTTATTTGGCTAGCATGTATTAATGTATATCTTATTGAAAGCTTCCAACATTGTGCATCAAATGATTTCAAAAGAAGTGCCATGGGGCTATCAAACTGTGTTGTCAGCCTAAAGATCAGCTGCAACACATGCAGCTTTTACAAGTAAATCTTAGTTTTGTCATTTTCTTCTCCTCTTTTTAAAGGTGTCACTACAGTCCTTACCATGACTACTTTAAGCATCAGTGCCCGAAATTCACTACCAAAGGTGGCCTATGCTACTGCAATGGACTGGTTCATAGCTGTGTGCTATGCATTTGTATTTTCTGCACTGATTGAATTTGCCACTGTCAACTATTTTACAAAAAGAAGCTGGGCCTGGGATGGCAAGAAGGCATTGGAGGCTGCAAAAAAGAAGGTGGCTATTATTCATATGTTTTTAAAGAGCTAGAATATTGACCTGTATTACCGTTTGTTGGCTTAGGGGAAAAGATCATGATCTGCTGGAGAGTTTTTTGCACAAGTCTGTTTGAAATAGGATGCCTGTGATCTTGCCATGCATTCAGGTACTGGATTGTGGGTTTCCCTGATGAACCCGCATACAATTGTTAGTCTCACCTAGAATAAATCCATTGAACTGATGGGAACTTGACAGATCAACTCTGTAAATTCTATTAATTCTATTAATTCAGTTGGTCATTTGGGCAAACAAGTAGATTGTTGTCATGGATACTTTTTAAATATTAAAAAAGCTTCTTGTATTCCATTTCCAGTGAGACACACACTTTACAGAGAAAGAAAGTAGACACTCAGAGATTAGATAGCTACATTGGCTACACAAACAAAGAGGATATTACATTTTACTCAGCATTCACATACATATAAACATTCACTCCACATGCATACATTGCCATCCCTTCTTCCATCTCCCTGAGAACTGAAGTGGGCCAGATTGTGTTCCCTGCAAAACTGCCATTCTGCTGAATACACCATCTTTTTCCATCCTCTGGAGAAAGCAGTGGGTGACTAGACTCCACTATCTGCCACACTTTTGGATAGTAAAAAGGTCTCTTACATAGCAATTTCCTGCTGTTGTTGTTCCAAAAAGGTGTAAATGACTGATAGGTTGTTTTGCAGCTAAAACATGCTGACTCCATAAGTTCTGGACATATGTTGGTTTTTCTTCCATAAATATCATAGTCATCATATCATCATCATCATTTGTAGACCACCGTATCTCCCCAAGGGGACTCGGGGCAGTTTCCAACATGAATGGCAAACATTCAATGGCGAAGGAAAAAACATTCAAACAAATTATAACAGTTTTTGGTTTTCCTTCTTCACGTAAGGAACTATTGGGTTGACTTAACTTAAAGACTAATTGTCTTTGAGTATGTAAACATGTTGTTTCAACCACAGTTCAACAGTTAATTATTGTCTCTGGTCATGTCTGCAGTTTAGTTCCTGAATTTTTCACCTCCTTTTGCAGTTTTCCCAAGCTTCATTCTCAGAATGATGTCTTCAGCTTTATATAAGCCCCAGTCATACTCCAACCATACAATTCATTCAATCCACACATCATATTTATCACAAGTTCATTTATTAAATTAAATGAACTGTCCTAGTGGCATCACTGAGACAATCAATGTGTGCTATATGACCTGAGATTGAGATTTTTGGTTTAACATTACTGTTTTTGCTATAATCTGGTGTCTACCAAAAGAGTTCTTTTCTTTTCTTTTCTTTTCTTTTCTTTTCTTTTGAAACTCCAGCTATCTTTATAAGTTGCAAAATCTTTATGGGAAAAATCTGGCTCCTTATAATATTGGTTCCTTTTGCCATTAATAATGATAATGATGATGATAATAACAACAATAATTTTGTTACCCACCTCTCCTCATGGTAGGTCACAGCACAGTCAAAACATTGCAAAAAATTTATAAACACACACATAAAAGGTCATATTAAAATGTATTTCTATAAAATACATATTTAAATACACAGGACAGAGATTAAAACAGAGGACATGAGTTTAAAATTAATGTTTAAAACTGAGTAGGTAGGCCTGCCTGAACAGGTAAGTCTTTAGATGGGTTTTAATTCTGACAGCTCAATTAGCTGTTGGAGCTCTTCTGACAGGTTGTTCCACAGTCTTGGGGCAATCGGTGAAAAGGTCATCTGGGTGACGGTCACCAGTTGAGTTTTGGCTGGCTGAGGTAGCTGCCCCCCAGAGGACTCTGTGTTCGGGCTGGATTGTATGGAAGAAGGCAATCCTGTAGGTAACCTGGACCCAAACCATGTAGATCTTTAAAGGTCAAAACTATCACCTTGTTACAATTGATTTAGCAATTGTTCTGAAAAATGGCACATAAGAAGTAGCCAGTTGCAGATATTGAATTTGATGGATGTGAGTTTATTAATCTGATCTGTGTTTTAATTTGGATTTTAAAGGATCTCTACAAGATGCTGATTCTCTTTTTGTAATCAGGCTACAAAGAAAACACTGAAGAAATTTGAATTGTTCAACTCATTTATACATTTTTCAGTTGAGGATTAGATTGACCAAGGTTTATAGCAATTGACATACTAATCCGGGTTCCAGTGTCATTGAATCCCAACATTATCTGGGATTTAGGATTTTCTGATTGTTACTAATTATTTACATAATGCCATTGTGTCATATGGCAGTCTGCAGGGGTGCAAAAGCTAAGGGTGGGTTCATTTCCCAATGAATATATGATCTAAAAAATAATCACAAGATGAAGAAAGGAGAGGGGCAGATTCAGCTAACATGAGATGAATGTGAGGAAATGAAGACACGTGTTTCTATGTTTTACTTCTGGGTTGCAGCTAAGGGCTAGGTCAAAGCACAGGAGCCTGTGTTAGGGCTGGAAGGAAGAGCAAATTCACTACACATGTGTCCTGGGAGGAAGTTCAAAGCCATTTCCTCTTCTTGATTATTTTTCAAAGAGTTTGTAAACACTCTGGATGGCAATTTTTAGAACTCACCAGCCAGCAAATCCACTTTTTAAATATTTTAGTTAGAATCACCAATTTCCTAAAAGAATGAATAACATGTATGCTTTTTGCATTTTTTATTGTCAAATTGTATTGATAATGATCAAGGCAATACAAAAATGTAAGGGATATGACAATTTCTGTGACTCCATACTAATCTTTTTTTTCATGTTTATCTCTCCCCCTTCCTTGTGGGTTTCCATTCTTTTACAGAAAAAAGAACGTGAACTAATGGCCAGAAAAGCCATAAACCAATATACCGTTGGAAGAATGACCCCCACATTAAACATGCCAAAAGACTCTTCCCCTTCAGTTATCTCCAACATTTCTTCCGTTCCAGTAAAACCAGCTGAAAAATCAATCGAAAGCAAAAAGACGTATAACAGCATCAGTAAGATTGATAAGATGTCTCGAATAGTTTTCCCGGTCTTATTTGGAACTTTTAACTTAGTCTATTGGGCCACGTATTTGAACAGGGAACCTGTTATAAAAGGTGCTGCTTCTTCAAAATAAACGGAAGGACTTCCAGGTCAAGTTTTAGCCATACTTGCAAAAACACGCTACCAAGGAGAATCTGAAGTTCCAAATGACTTTCTACCTTTGGGCAGTTTTCTTCAGGAAGTTTTTGCATGTTTAACAATATGTACAAAATTATTCTTGCCTTGATTTGTTTCTACATGTAACCTCAGAGAAGATTCTGACAATTACATTAACAGCAGCAGACACAAATCTTTCTAGGACAACAGAAGACATGGGACATGGCTTCTACGCTGCTGCAGAGTGTCTTGCATTGATAGTTTACAAATGAAATAAGATATATTTTTAAACTGTTTGGGCCTATTGCAAACCTGCAGGGTTTTTTAATATATACTTTGAATGTACAGTTGTGCACATAGGTGAAGAATTATGGACTCTGCAGCTGCAGAAGCATATATATATACACAATTTCAGTGTTTGTCAGCACAGAAGCTTTCTGACTAGGAATCCCAGCATTGCAGACCCAGGATTTGCACATGCAAAGGGATGCACAACACCTCTCACTAGCAGGTTTCAGGAGTAGTGGCAGATTGCACAGATATACGCTTCCCCTGTGATCATTTGGATGTGTATAACAGCTGTCACAGATCAGACGTCACAGCTACAAATACCGTTTTGCCTCATATCACCTCATTATGCTGCACTTTTTCAGTGAATCCAGTCAACAGTGAAATCTCTGAAAACTCTGCTCGGGTTTTCACTTCCTATCTATAACAAGTAGGTGTGTAAGCCTTGCTACATGTCTAGCTGTGAACATTACTAAACTTTATCAATCCCTGTTAACAAATTAAAGATGGTCCTACTGATCACTGGAGTGACAATACTCAAACATCCTCACTCTGATAGTCAAACCTGGTGTCTGCTGTGAATGGAATGAATAGTGATATACATGTATGAACACACACATCCACCTCTCCACCATCTTGCATTCACTATTTATTTTTTAAGAGTGTTTATTTGTCACTTTCATGACTATTCCAGCAACAGCACCAAAGCACACCATTCACAGAGATCTCTTATGGCAAACAATAGTACATTTTCTAAAAGACATTCTGACCATCAGCCCCTCAGGACCTGTTCACCATTTATGCTTGGCATTGTTATAGACATCATGATTAGCAGATGGTAACTGGCAGGAGGGACAACATCTTGAGTCCGTGGGGTTGCAGATCAGGAAAGATTGGTGCTAGCACATATGGCAGTGAATTCAGCTATGGTCACAGTGTAAATGGGAGAATGGTGGCCTGCAGACTGCTGTGGGAGAGGCAAGACTGTCTACATATGGCCCAGGCTGTACTCTACTTTACATGATCTTATTGAATGACAAGACAGATTTTTGTTGAAAACACTTTTGATTTCTTCATGGGGTGGCCTTAAGCAAGGTTTAGAGGTCTAGATGAAGTAACAAATATCTGGTTTCCATATCCTTGGAGGTACTACATATGCCCTAACATTTAAAATATCTTCGTAGTGGACCACTATGGACTGCTGGTGTTTTTGGATTGCTTCTCCAACACTCCCTCACTGTGTCTAGGGATAATGTGAGTTGCTGGTTAAAAATATCTGAAGGGCTGCAGTTACCCTCCTCTGATCTATTTGTCAGAGTCAAGCAACACTGCAAGTCTAATAATCACCACCTATCCACAAAGGCTCAGATAGCTTCAGAGTTTAGATCTTAGAATCAGTGACAACCTTAATGCATTCTTGTGTTCAGTGTAAGAAAGAAAGACCATGACCCCTGTACTTGAAGACAGGAAAATGATGCCTCATCTGGAATGTGGCACCCAAAGCAGGCTTCTCACAATTTCCATGGTAAGTCTTGGCCAGGCAGTATACATTTTGTGTTTTCTTCACTTCATCTGCCTCTAAGCTTCTCCTCTGTTTCTTGTTGTTCCTGTATACACTGCACAACTCTTCCACAGCATCCCTCTCAAAGGCCATCCCAACCTCTGTCAAGTAATTTCACATTCTTTAGTAAGGCCAGACAATGGCCATAACAGACTTTTCAATTTAGTTAGGTAGCTGGTTAGCTGTTATTGCATTTCACTTTTGATCGTAGTACTGTACTATCAGATTATCACAAAGTATTCCCTTCGTCATTAATTTTTGCTATTTATTAATTCTTTCCTCTGCTTTCTAAATAGTAATAAACATTCCACAAAACACACAACATCCCACAATCAACATGTAAAATCAATATAAAACTGCCTACCGGCTTGATGGCAAGGAGATGGTACTATCATCTTAGCACCATTATGGTACCATCATGCATAAGAACAATTTATGTCTCATTAAAAAATATGAACCCCAAACTTTTATTCTCAAAGAGAGCTTTTCTGAATTTGGTGCTCTCCAGATGGATTGATCTACAGCTGCCATCATCCTCAGTCAGCATGGGTCATATTGGATAGGATTGTTTATTAAAAAAAAAATTATCTGGAGACCATGTTGAGAAGACTGGCTGGAGGTTTCCAAGCCCTGGAGGAAAAAAAATAGTAAGGTTTGTGCATATAAAAATGGGCTAAATTCTATTTAGAACTGTACATGAAATATTGAATTCTGACACAAGCCTGCAAAAATTATAGGATAGTAATCGCATTATATCCATTTTCAGTCCCGAAATTTGTTCTCCTGCTTGAAGAAATCAAAGGCTTTGCTTGCCATACCAACTGGTCTTGTTCAGAATTAATTGCCCTTTGCATATGGGATTAAGCAAAGTCATTGCTTCTTTTCCTACCCTCATAGTAGGTTGGAAACAAATGATGTAGAGAAGGAAGATTTTGTATTTGCAACTCCCAGTGGGCACAATTTACCAGAGGAGTTGTTGCACAGAACTCCATCTTAACAACAGACGTGCAAGAGATAAGTAGCTGTTTATATCTGTTATCCCATTTCAATAGAATGTACAAAGGAGAATTCATTTCAGAGCTATGGAAAGTTACATTTTAGACTACAACTCCCATCCTTCCTATGGTAGAGGGTCTTTCATTACACAGACAATGCCATTGTCCCAGATTCTCAACCATTTCTAAATATTGGCATTGTAATATTCATGGAGCTGTTTTAATATGCACTTGCTGAGAATCTGGTTTTTGAATTACTTGACGAATAAGGCCACTACCTACGTATTCATTTGAAATGGCAGTAATTTTGCCTTTCAGGGAAATAAATATTTTTGTTCAAAGTCACACCACTTCATGGAATCATCATTGCTCAAAAAAAGTTGAGACATGTATTGCATGAAATTACCTTTGAAAAATAGAATAGAGCTACATATGCCCAATGAAACAGTGACTGTTCATTTATATTAAGGTATCAAGCATTTTTGGATGAGGACAAAAGCCTCTTAAATCATGTTTTCCAAGAAATAAAAGGGTGAAACTAAACAGAGAAGTTTTGCATTGTTGAAGCCAACTGTTTTCAATGACTTTTCCAGTATTTCTTTACCATGTCTTTTGACAAATTCTATTACTTGGTTTATTTAGTTGGTGATCAGTGCTGCAATTCTGTATACACTCATCCGAAAGCAAGTCTTATTGAGGCTTACTTTGTAGAGATGTATGGGATTGCACTGTCAAGGTTGCAATCCTATGCGCACTTAATGGCCCTTTCACACTACACAATTATAGCACTATGAATCTGCTACAAATATATGAACACTAGAGCTCTCTGGCAGAGAATTCTGAGCACCTCTCCCTAAACTGCAAATCTCAGAATTTCGTAGGATGAAATCGTGGCAGGCAGTTAAAGTGGAATCACAGTGCTAAAATCATTTTAAGCGTGCAAAGGCTTGGGAGTGAATGCCACCAAACAAAATAGGATTTGTTCCATGTAATCATGACTAGACCAGGCTGCATGTATTAAGTTATTTTCAGCATTTTCCTGCATAGATTCATTGCTCTAGTAGCTTTTGTAATTTTATCTTAATGTTTAAATTAAAGAATACATTTGATAGTCAGTTGCAAAGTGTCATCTTTTTTTGTCAAATGTATTGCTCATACAGTCGAGCCTGGAACAAAATGCTGTAGTGAGGTCATGTTCCTGGTCAGCAGAAGCCATTTCATTTTCCCCTCCCTCCCAGTTTTCTATCCTTCCCACACAACATCACTCAGCACTGTGTGACTACTGAATTTGTCCAACTTGGGTTTGCAAAGAATTTCTTCTATTACAGGTTTTTATTTTCCCTGAAGATTCCTGGGCTTCTGAAATCTTTGGTGTTTAATGAACTGGCTGATGTATCCCTCTTGTGGTGAACAGTGATATCTTCACTTACATAAGCAACAGCACTTGTTTCTGAACATCGGAAATAAGAGAAGAAATGTATTGTCGAAGGCTTTCATGGCCAGAATCACTGGGTTGTTGTGAGTTTTCCAGGCTGTATGGCCATGTTCCAGAAGCATTCTCTCCTGATGTTTCACCTACCTCTTTGGCAGGCATCACCAGAGGTTGTGAGGTCTGTTGGAAACTAGGAAAATGGGGTTTATATATCTGGGAATATTCAGAGTGGAAGAAAGAACTTTTGTCTGTTTGACGTAGATGTGAATATTTCACATCTATGTCAAAGATAGCTTTCTGGCATGATGTGAGTATATGTTTGATGTATGGATTATCTTTACTTCTGTAATTTTGCTGGAGAATACTTGTTACTCTATGTTATGTTATGTTTTGTTATAGATAAGAGTCTAGAGTTGCTGATTACATCAACTCCTGAGGAAGGGGATTTCTTTCCCCGAAACAGGATACAAAAATACCCGGGCACCTCTGTTGAATGCTATTTGGACTTTTCCTTTGGAGACCTTTTTTGAGAAGCAGTGCTCCAATTTCACTGGACAATTTCACTCATCCATGAAGATTTTTTTTTAGAGTAGTGCTCCATCTTCATTATTGTCTTCAGTCTACATATAGCCTCATGACTCAATGCTTACTTTGTATATAATTTTTCTCACTGAATGTATCCCTGAAGCCTATATACAGTGGAACCCTTATTCAGACCTAGAACTGTTAAGTTTGAGAGCGGTTGCTCCTTTTGATTTTGCTTTGTGCCACTGAATTGAGCTATGTACTGGGAATTTTGGTAAATTGCATACTATATGCCCTTTTGATATTACACTTTGATATTACACATAAATTGTTTTGTGTTTGTCCCGATTGTTTCTTGTCTGGAATTCCCTTGTTTTGGAGTGTTGTTCTTTATTTACTGTTATGATTTTAGAGGCCATTAAGTTCTAGGCCATTAAATGCTGGTAAAGGTGACCAATTGAAACATTCACACCTATCTCAGACAAGAGTTCTTCCTCCCACCCTGGACATCCCATAGATATATAAACCTCATTTTCCTAGTTTCCAACAGACCTCACAACCTCTGAGGAGGCCTGTTATAGATACAGGCAAAACGTCAGGACAGAATGCTCCTGGAACATGGACATACAGCCCAGAAAACTCACAACAACCCATGAAAATGAATGTTTTGATTTTAAAAAAACACACAAATGGACCTAATTCTAAATTTTACTTTCAGCTAGAGTAGACCCATTCTTAATGGCAAGTCAACATATACATAAGTATTGCTTTGATAGTTAGGATTGGCAACCCATACACAGACTGATGAAATTATGATTGCTGTGATTAGGAATCAGCATGAAGATGAGGCTTTTTGTGATTTTATATCTTTCAGCTGATCCTGACTTATGGCAGTCTTGTGATATGGTTTTCTTGGCAAGATTTATTCAGAGAAGGTTTGCTATTACCTTCTTAAGATGAAAAGTATCATATGTCCAAGGTCATCCAGTTGGTTTCCAGAGTCAGCTCACAATTGGAACCTTTGTCTTCCAGAGTACCAGAGTATTAGTACAATGATCAAATCACTATAAGGCCTTCGACACTACCATATAACCCAGAATATCAAGGCAGATAATCCACATTATCTGCTTTGAACTTAATTATTTGGGTCTACACTGCCATATACTGTAATCCAGTTTGATGCATATAATCTGGATTTTATATAGCTGTGTAGAAGGGGCCTATGTCATGCTTTTGGTGGGGGATTTATTTTGTCCAGTGGAAAAGGCTCCATGCCTACTTCACTTGGGCCATTTCCACACTGCTATATAAAATCCACATTGAACCAGATTATATGGCAGTGTGGACTGAGATAATCCAGTTCAAAGCATATTTTGTGGATTAACTGCCTTGATATTCTGAGTTGTATGGCTGTGTGGAAGGGCCCCTTGTCACTGTCAAGTGTCATCTTGCCAATTGAAACTCAACCAGATCCTATGTAGACTTGAAAACTAAACAGGTTCAGCCTTGGTTAGTACTTGGATGGGAGGCTCGGAATAAACTGTCAAAACAATCTCTGAGGCCCCTTCTACAACTATATAAAATCCACATTATCTGCTTTGACCTGGATAATATGGCAGTGTAGACTAAGCCTGGATCTATACTGCCTTATATCCCAGGATCTTTTTCTATATTATTGGCTTTGAACTGGATTATATGAATCTACACCACCAGGTTATCTGGAATAAGCAGATAATCTGGTATCAGATCCTGTGATATAGGGCAGTGTAGATCCAGCCTAAGATGATCCAGTTCAAATCAGATAATGTGGATATTTTGCTTTGGTATCCTGGGTTATCTAACCACATACACAGTTGTCCAGAGAGTTGAGTGCCATGCCTCTTAGTAGATGAATCATTGTTAGAGGGTGATCTGAAAGTTCCCATGCCAAATACACAGGAAAAGTAGCTCATGTTCAAGGAGCTGGTAGCAGACTTAGGAGATCTAGAGCTCTTATTAGGGACAATTGTAAGAGCACCCTGTTAAGTTGTAGATCGGCTCCTCTCTGAATTGTAGTAGGGCAGTGAGGGCCCTTCCACACAGCCCTATGTCCCAGAATATCAAGGCAGAAAATCCCACATTATCTGAGTGTGGATTTAGATAACGCAGTTCAAAGCAGATATTGTGGGATTTTCTGCCTTGATATTCTGGGATATAGGGCTGTGTGGATGGCCCAGAGGGGGCATCTAGCCCTAAAACGCCTAAAAATAACAGGCTAATTACTGACAAGTTTGCTTTATGAAAAAAAAAGTTTCCTTATGAATATGACATCTCTAATGAGTAGACCAATCCTTCAGGTAATTCTGTGACCTGCAGTTATGTTCTATCTGCTATGCTTCAGTTTTAGGAACAGAGTACTGGGACACATTCTTTGTTACAACTGTCAAATATGGTGAACACGTGGGTAATCTAACCACCTACTGTGCTAGTTCTCAAACTTTGTGGCACAGCACTCAGGAGATGTTCAAGAACATTAAATTATTTTTTATTTATCACTTCATGAAATGACTTCCTTACCCATTGTGATATTCCTTGATGCTCCCCAATCCCCAATTAAGAGTTGTCATGTCATTGTCGGCCTCTTCCGACTTCCAGTAGCCAATGTCATCCTCTCTGCATTGTTTGTGTAAACAAAAATATACATACTTGACAAACAAAATATTTTTATTCACATACTATGTTGAGTGTTCATGTAAATGGGTTGCAGGAGTAAAAAAAACCAATGATCGAGTGAGTCAAATCTTCTGCCTTTTTTAAAGCCTGTGTTTCTTATGTTGCATTTCAGGATTGTTGGAAATATGTTTCACCCCATTTTCCCCCTTCCAAGATTTTGCTATTGTAATTCTCGCTGCCACAAAACTATATTGGCAAATTTCTACATCTTCCTTATTGATATCTCATGAAACAAACCAAATAGATACATTTCTGGGTTTTTCTTAACTTTTTTAGAAATTGTTTTATTAGTTTCTTTGGTTGTATTTTTTTAAAAAAATACCACCCTACAGGTCCAACAGGCATGGAAGAAGGTGCCTTTCTGCGTTTTGCATCTCCAGCATTCCCCTGCTGGGGTTTGTCAATTTTGGCTATTAATTCAGTTATATAGCTTCTACAGAAGATTTTATACATTTTTTTCTAATGGAACCAGCTGTTGGAAATGTAAATCCTTTTTTTGCCATAAGTATTTCCAGTTTCCAAATCTATATTTTTTTCTAAGCCCAGGAAATCATTACTATTTTCATTTGATTATCTTCCAAGTTGTACTCTAGCATGTTTTTGTATAACTTGGAGATCAATCCTTTATTTTCTTTCTCCAAAATATTCTCCAACTCCAATTTCCTTTTGGAGAACCCAGTTTAATTGTCTTTCCTAAATATAACCTGTAGCTGATAATAACAAAACCAGTCATTTATCCCCTAACTCTTCTCTCCCTTTTAATTTCCATTGTCCATTTTCTTCAGTTATACATTCCCCATAAGTCCTGAATTCCTAATTATATGTTGGTTTTAACACTGTTTCCAGAGGACACAGCCATAAAGGGGTTTTTTTTTGCGCCATCTGTTCCTTGTATCTTTTCCACATCGCTAAAAGACTAGCTCTTATGGGATGCCTATTAAAATCTGTGTTAGCCTCATTAAGGATTGGAGAAGAAAATTAGTTGAGTATATCTAAATGACCAAGTTATCCAATGGCATAGGAGGAGGAAAGAATGAGGATTTCATTAGAAAATGGAGAGTTTCTTTTGGGTATTTAGAAAAGAAGACAAAAATAGATTGAAATAACAGCTCAGAAAATCTATTAGTGTAATGATAAGGATAGATTTTGTTAGATACTTCTTCCTACTGAGTGGTGTTGAAAGTCATGGGTGGTGGTTCTTGGGTGGGAATGGGTGTGGTAGGATGGATGAAAAAAAGATGTTTCCCCCACACACATTGGAAATAATTTGTTAATGACCTTGTTTCTCTCAACAATTCTCATAGCACTTTGTTCCATGAATTATCCCTTTGCGAGCAGGTTCAAGTGAGGCCAGGTTACCCTTCCCTCAAGGATCCTGCAGGAAATTTCTGGTTGACAAGCCTTGGGCACCTTCCACACAGCTGTATAAAATCCACATTGAACTGGATTATATGGCAGTGTAGACTTAGATGATCCAGTTCAAAGCAGATATTGAGGATTGTCTGCCATGATATTCTGAGTTATTTGGCCTTAGGGCCCATTCAGACATGGCCCAAAATGTGCAAGCTAGTGCACTTTTACCGGAGGCGTCCAAATGTAGCCTCCATTAAGATTGAATTAATTCGAGACAAAGTAGAAAAACCCTGCTTTGTCCCGAATTAATTTGATACCTGGTAAGACTTGGATCTTGGATAAGATCGGGGTTTTTCCAGGTATAGACCCAATGTGGATTGGGCCCGGGGACTACGTCATGCGATCTCTGGGCCCAACCTACACAATCCTCCCGAGTTTTTCAGGCTCCATGAGCCTTGACAACTCAGAAGGCACCCCCCCCCCTGCAAACCCAACCCAAAGGCCTTAAAATAGAAAATAACTTACTCATATGCTATTAAGGTCCTGCAGAGTGCTCCTAGTGCCATGATGGTGAACCTATGACATGCGTGTCAGCACTGACACACATGGCTATTTTTGATGACACGCTGCCACAGAGAAGTACACATTATAAGAGCCAATCTAATTCCATCCTTAAATTTGTAAAAGGCTCTACAAATTTAACATCTGCATGTTTGAGCATTGTTCACTCCATAACTCAGCATGGAATATACATTTTTTTCTTATTTAAACTATAAATATTGCAAAATTACGTTTATTTTTTCTCGAAGTTGACACCCCACCCAAGTTATGTTCAGGTTTTTGGCAAATTTTGACACAGCAAGCTCAAAAGGTTGCCCATCACTGTTCTAGTGTGTAGAAATGGTGTGCTAGGAGGGGGAGCGAGAAGCATTTTTCCTCCTCCTCCCCCCTTCCTGGCACTTCAATTTTACATGCTAGATGGCTCTGGCAGGAATTTGATGGCTGCCAGGTTAGTTATTGCCTATTTTAAGGCCTTTGGGGAGTGGATGATTTTGGGAGGAGGGGGTTAGGGGTTTGGGAAGTTACCAGGAAGGCATCTAGACACACACACAAGGAAAGTGAGCAGTTTAGGGGGAGGTGGGGGGACTAAAGGTTGCCCCCAAGTGTTTTTTTTTTTAAAAAAACCCAGGTCGGCATCGCCTTTTCTAGGGCCCTTCCACACAGTCATATAACCCAGAATATCAAGGCAGAAAATCCCGCAATATCTGCTTTGAACTGGTTTATTTGAATCCACACTGCCAGCTATCCCAGTTCAAAGCAGAAAATGTGGGGTTTTATTCAGCTGTGTGGAGGGAGCCTCTCTCTGTCTGGAAGCACCCTTGAACCATGTTTGGTTTCTAAGTGGGGAAGACAACTTCTCGAATCAAGTATATTCAAACCCCTCTTAACTCCCTCTTCTGATTTCTGATTTTGTTGTTCTTATATTATCATAACATTATAGCACATTATATCATTGTAGTGTCATGCCATCATAGCACTATTACGGCTATAGTTGTGGGAGGGTTTTTGAGAAAAAAAATAGGCAAATCAGTTGTGAAGTGAGAGGTGGGACACAGGAATCAGTAATGGCATTGTTAATGCAGATGAAAACCCTGAAAATGAGGCCCTTAAAGCATAAGTGTAACATGGTGTGATGGCATTAATAATCAAGTACTCTCATGAGACTGGCTGGAGTGAATTTCAAACAAAACAACACAGCATAAGGAAATGGTGCAGTAAGTTGTTATGTGATGACCCTTGGGCTGTGAATCTAGCAGGGACGTTTCCTAAATAATAGCTACCCTGCTGTCTGAGCTTGGACAATCCAGTCCCGTTGCCTTGGGCAGTAGATTTTGAAGGGTAGAGAACAACAATAAGGACGAAGCTGTTAGTTCTATCAAGCTGTTATCTATTTAAATAATCACATATTGGTGTAGTTGGGTTTTGTGCATTGAACAGGGGGTGCAATGGTATCCTTAACCTCAGATGACCAGATGCATCTCTGTACAGCTCTGTTTTCCAGCAGCATCACATTGATGTATGGAACCACAGAGAACAATCTGTGTACCTTGCTTTCCAAATCTCTCAGATTTACAATACAATGCAATGCACCTACTTTACATTATGTAGTTCTTGATAATGTTATCAGTCTGGAATTCCTGAATGACAGTTAAGGAACCTCCAGTCTAATAAACCCAGGTTCATTACATTAGGGCAGCTGAGGACATGTTTGAGAGGCTCCACAGACCCCTTACACTCCTTTAATCATTTGTTAAAGCAAAGAGGTCATTCAGTTTCTAGTTCCTGTTAAAAATTGCCCCAGGTTACCAACTATGTGTGAAGAGGGCCTCACAGGTATAAGAATTCCCACCACTGAGTGTCCTTCCACATCCAGAATATCAAGGCAGAAAATCCCACAATATCTGCTTTGAATGGGAATATCTGAGTCCACACTGCCATACATTCCAGTTCAAAGCAAATAATGTGGGATTTTATTCAGCTGTGTAGAAAGGGCCTGAATCAAAGTTTGCAAGATAAATACACTCTGAGCCCTTCCACACAGCCATATAACCCAGAATACCAAGGCAGATAATCCACAATATATGGTGTGAACTGGATTATCTGAATCCATACTGTCGTATAATCCAGTTCAATGTGGATTTTATACAGCTGTGTGGAAGGGGCTTCTGCTAAAGAAAAAAACCCTGTTAAATGAGTTTTTCTATTAGATACATGCCTGCAGATAAGATATAAATAATGTGATTTCACTCAAATGTAAGAACAGTAACTCAGGCCCCTTCCACACAGCTGTATAAAATTCCACACTATGTTATTTGAACTGGGTTATATAAAAGTGTGGATTCAAATAACTCAGTTTGATGTCGATATTGTGGATTATTTGCCTTGATATTCTGGGTTACATGACTGTGTGGAAGGGACCTCAGAAATACTCACATAATCAGGCCGTTTATTCATTTGTAAATTGGGTTAATACACTTTTATGTTATCCCTTTCCAACAAATATTTTTCATGGAGTTTCAGTTTTACTCACACAAAGTTAGGTTTAGTCATGTAAAAAGTTGCTTAAAGAAAGTTGTAACATTTGGTTTGTAGGAAGATATGGGGCGGAGGAGGAGATGGCTGATCATGCATCTTGCCCCAGGCCCAGTGCCAGCTTTCAGCGGCTGTGCATGACAGAGCTGGGTGCTTTGGAAGAGTAGGCTAATGAGGTTTTCTGGCATGAGCCCCAGGTTCTGTGTCAAAGTGATTTCAGCAAAGTGGCTTCAAAGGGACTTCAGTGAAAAGTCAGCAAATTCATCAGGCGCCGCAGTAATGACAGGGACTTGATTCAATGAATATGATGAAAATAGCAGAATAACTGGGCACTAAAGTCTAGAACTGATGTAGTGTTAGGACAATTACTTGCCACTGTGCAGGCTGATACTGTTGATTTCCTTTATGATTTGGATAAACCCAAAGTTTTAGCAGAAATGCTTACTATCTTTAAAATTTGTTTCATAAGAAGTTTCCTGCAAAATGGGCTTGAAATGTCAATTCAAAAGAGCA